GGCAGTGCCAGTGGGCATCCGTCAGCATGAGGACGGGCTCTATGCACTGTCCTCTCACACAGCTGTCCTACACCCTCTGCCCAGGCGAGTCACATGGATGAGAGCTGCTTCCTGTCTGGGTGAGAAGATGCAGCTTTCTATGGTGAGCAGGATTCGGTCCCCAGAGCATTTGGGGTGACCACTTTCTGGCTGCTGAATGTATGTGGCCTGGAACACAGGTGGGGGTTCACCTGCCGGACAGACCTGGGACTTGGACGGATCTTTTGGGCTCCCGGCTGTGCGACCTGGCATTGGTGCCACCATGTGAGGTCACGGAGTCCCTGTCCTTACTGCCAGGGGTGGGCTTTAGGGTCCCAGAAGGCTCGAGGCCTGCTCCGCTGTTGTCCTCTTGACATTCTTTCCAAGATACCGGGTTTGTAAGGAAGTCCCGTGGGACAAGGGGCTTGTAGGGGAGGTTCCTGTGACACTGTCCTTCGCTGCCCAGATACCCCTAGGAACGGAATTCCATGGGTGAGACCCCGATGAGGTGCAGGACAGAAGGAACAGGTTCCAGCCACTCCTGAGGCCCTGGAAGCCACATGGTGTCCTAGAAACCACAGCCTCCCCCAGGACCAGACCTTCCTTTGGCCAGCAATGGCATTCTAGAAAACACGAAGAATTTAGGAAGCTTGCATAGCCTTTCTCACCCAGCACCCTCTCCACATTGGTCAACATCTTCCACTGAAAGTGACATCAGGAAGGGAAAGATCAGACACCCCAGGTTCCTGCCCTCTCACCTCCCTCCTCCCCAGCAGGCAAACACATGCAAAGTGTGCACATGAAGCGGGTGAGTTGGATAAAGGGAACCCCCAGTCTGGTGGAAACTAGTTTTGGGGTGATTCTAACACTGACATGGATATGCCGGGTGTATGCTGACCCGCGCCCCGCAACACTCTTACGATTCTGCGTGTGAGTAATATCCTGATATTTGCATTTAAAACTAGCACAGGGCCTCCCCTGGTGGTGAGCGCCGCTCTGTGAAGCTGTCTGCAGCCTCTGCAAAGCCGGTTCAATTCCTGGCCAGCCAGGGAGGGTCCCACATGGCGAGGCAGACCTCTCCTGTCTCGCCCGCTGCTCCCCTCAGCAGTGTATTTCATCCGTCTGCCTGCTCTGCTCCCCGCTCTGTCTCTGGTGAATCCTCTCACTCTCCCGCACATCTGGCCTATACCCTGGTTCTTGTATAAATAAATCTTAAAATAAATAAAACTAGCACACTCATGACAGGGATGAACAGTAAAAGTCACACAAAAAATTTAAAGTTTTAATCGGTCTTTGTCAAGAGTGACATTAACTAGTAAATTATAAAATACTGTAATGTATCTAGACCTCAGAAAACTTTGTATTTTAGTGCTTACTGGCACTCATTTCCATTTTTTATAAAATGAGGGGCCTTATGTTTGTACTTTGCCCTGAAAGCCGCACAGCTGGCTCCGCGGCTGGTGCCAACATGAATCAGGTCAGAAGATTCCAACACAGAATCCATAATTCTGTGATTTTTATGAAGCACTAATTATTTCAAGCTTTAAATTAAGATGTAGACACAAGTGCAAGCCTCAGTTCAGCCCTGCACCTTCTGGGTGCTCTCCCCACTCCCCACATCCCAAGAACTCGCGATTTTAATTCCTTTCACCCTTGATGTCTCAGATCCAGTCTTGCTGCCACCCCTGCCACTGCCTGGGATAAAGTCACGGTTGTGTCACAGGGACCTAGCTCAGGCGTCTCCTAATGGGGCTCTACTGCCGGCGTCACCCTTCCACTCCAAATGCTGCTCAAAGAACGACCTCTTAAACTGTCTCTCTGGTCATACAGCCCCACCCCACTGCTCACAGCCCTCGTCTCCCTATTGCCTGCAGAGGGTGGGAAATCAAACCTCCGCCACATAGTCATCTGCTATGGCTCCAGTGGGCACCTCTTATGCTCGTCCTTCCAAATTCAGATCAGGTCTTGCCTCCTCCAGAAAGTCCTCCCTGACTGCTCAGCGGGGTAAGAAAAATTTCCCCTCTGCTCCTCTGGCACTGTAGACATGCCTCAACTAGTCATTTACCCGTTACACTGAAGTGATGGGCTTGTGTTCAAGATTCTCCCTCTAGATGCTCTCCAGATAGCTGAGCAGAGACATTTGCCTCCTCAAGTATTGGAATCTGAACTAACAGCAGGTCTTAGAAGCTAGAAGGAAGAGATTCAAGCTGTCCGTCCCCACCTGCTTTCTTTTAACTTAAGGAGTGTCTCACTCGAACAAACAGGAGACATTTTTAGGGGTGGATGAACACACTGGACTGGTCCCACCTTCAGGACAAACCACCTACAGAGACAGAGGCAACAGGCCCTTTCCCGGGGCGTTATCTTGAGCTCTTCAACATCTGGAGCGGCTGGTCCTGCTGGGAGGCAGAACAGGCCGCTTCCAGCACGGCGAGGGGAGACGTGGCCCTCGGACAAGCCGGGATAGGGGCCAGCTGCTAAAAAGACGGGACCTTGCTGCCTGCGGCCACACCGGCGGAGCCGGAGAGGGTCGTGCTATGCCAGAGAGGTCCCGGGGGAAGACGAGTTGGGGGGGTCTCTTATGCGGAATAGGAGCAGGACAACGACCAGAAAACCCAACCAAACCCTTGAAATATGACCGCAGAATCGAGGCTGCCAGAGGGGGCGACGGGCGAGAGGAGCCCAGTAGGGAGGGCCCAAGGGGCTGCGGGCGCCTCGTGGTGGGGTAGGAGCCGGCACCCCTGCACGACTGCAAAATGATGTTACTATTCTGTCGTTTGTACTGTGAGAAAGCCAGCTCGTGCTGACACAGTAGCATTTTTAAGTGATGCAAGAAAAAAGCACTTCATTTAGAAAAACTAAAATTAAAAATAAAAGTACTATTTAAGAAAATTGAAGAATATTACTTTATATTTAAAGAAATATATCATCCCGCTTAATTGAAGAAGCTGGCTCCACACGTCCTCTGTGCCCAGAGATTAGTTGTCGGGTAGGAGCATTTTCAGAGTCTGTTCAAACATTTGTGAGTCATTCTAGAGACACCGACACTTGACAAGGCTGCTTGCGGGGCTGCGTGGGAACCACACTGCTTTAGGGACCGGCTGACATGACCGTCTGCAGGTCTGCACACTCTTAAATCTACGTGTCGATAAACGCCTTGCTCACCAGGGTGCCCGGTCTGGCCTGGCACTGAGCGCGCGGGAGCCGGGGGCATGAACGCCCGTGTTCTTGCAGCTCTGCGGCGCGGGTGCGGCGCCTTCTTATTGTCTCTGCATTAGACCATCGCTGCTTTATCTCGCGCCGCCTCGCATTATAGTCCATTTACCTTGGAAGCATTTTTCATTTTCCTTCCAGCCCTTATTTATTTCAGGCAATTCATCTTTCCTCCTGTGCCCTTGGCTGCCACCTAGTTAATTGCTTGTTCAAGTTTTCATGCTTAGGTTCACTTTTTTTTATTGGCTACCTAGCAAACAGCTTTTTTTTTTTTTTTTTTAATTGTAGCAAAAGAGTAGAAATACAGGTTGGGTGGAAATACAGGTTTTCTTACCTCCCCCAGGAAAACACTGAAGGGAAGATGAGCACAGGGAGCTGTTCCCTGGGACAGGGAGCCGGACCACCTGCAGCCACCAAGTGCAAATCTCTGGGGTAGGTGGAGGGGGGCTTGTGCCCCGGGGTCTGGAGGGCAATGATGTCAAACCCAGCCATGTTTGGTTGGGGTCTCTGAAAGTCCCAAAGGTACTTAATATGATGTGAGAGTTCCATCTGTAAGAAAAGCTGGTGCAAGGGGGCCTTGTTTTTAGAGAAAGGGCTGTGGTAGAACTGGAGGGGCCTGCAGGCTCCAGTTCTCACAGCAGACCTGCTTCTGCCTGAATCTTATTCCGTGATCCTTTGTGGTCACTGCCCCACTTGCCCTACACAGGCTCAGGCTGCCGTACAGTCCCCGCCCCAGGGGTGAGCATCCTGACTTCCCACAGGTTCAACCTCAAAGGCCTACTTTTGATGAATGAGGGACCATGGAATCCATCCTGGCTTGTATTTGTTACTGTGCTTATTTCTGGTCTTCCCCTAAAATAAATTCTATAAATTCCATGGAATCAGGGATTTGTCTTCTTGCCCACTTTATCTCCATGGAAGTCACTCAGAAATAGCTGGTGAATAAGAAAGTGTAAGAATGTTGTCTCTGGCAGTACTGTGTTAGGAATTTATTGTTTTACTATTATCAATGCCATTGCCAGGCTCATACAATCATTGTAAAAACTATTGTTTATTGACTATTAACTAACCCTCAGGCATTCTCTAGAGGGATTTCTGTGTGTGGTCCACGTCAGTTTTTAATAATCCTAGGAGTTCCTTTCACTATTACAGGGAAAACTGAGGCTCAGAAAAGGCTGGGAACCTGCCTAAGTTAGCCCAGAGAGGAAGTTAAAGACCTGGGATATCACCTATGTCAGATGTGGGTGCTCCAACCCTTCACCCTAACCCTAGCCCCACCTACCCCCTGCTCACATTCGCATTTCCTGCAGAGCATGACTGAGCTCCATCTACACCACAGTCCACAGTCCCAAGGTCACACCCACAGGCTGTCTGCTACAAAGGGGTCACCTGCTGGGCATCAAAGGACTCCATCAAGTACCCTCTAAAAACAAACATCAGAAAGGAGCTTGGGGGAAGAAGCACTCCGAAGACAAAGTTAAATATACTTCAGCTCTTTCAAGGACCAACTGCCCACCCCTGCCCTGGGGGACTGGGTCTGGTTTGACTAATGTTGTGGCAGTTGCATATTTGATGTGAAACCATGAAGACGGTAAGTTGCAATAAATAATAACAGTGGTAATATTAGAAGTTCCATCTGAACTTGCTATGTTATATTTTATGAGCTTCTATTCAATTAATTCCCATGATAGCCTGGGAGGTAAGCATTCTGAGCGCTGCATCAGAATGGTCCGGTGGGCTCTGGATGTTCTAGAACTGGGCCACACTACCTGGCAAGTAGGAGATAGCATTAGCCTTCAGTCTTTGCAGCCTTTTTTTTTTGGCTTCATTACATTTCACTTTATTGAAAATATGTTGTCTGAATCAAGATGTGCTGTAAAGGTAAAGTATATGCAGGATTTACAAGAGACTAAAATAGAATACACAAGATCTTAGTAATAATTCTTATGGGTTACAAGTTTAAATGATAGTGTTTTAGCTATAGTAGATTAAATAAAATATATTTTAATTTCTAAAGTACTACCAGAAAATTTGAATTACATCTGTGACTTACATTTCTACTGACTAGCACTTCTAGACATATACTTATAAGTTTACATATACATGTAAGTTTTTATAAACTACTTTCTTAGTGATGCTATACACACATCCTTTGACGTCAATACAGATCTATATTTCGCCTTTTTAAAACCATTTTTTATTGAGGTAACACTAGTTTACAATACTGTGGAGGGTATGAACATGGGGAACAAATTGGTGAGGGGGCCCAATGGACCATGGTGGTGGATTATGGGCCCTTGGTGGTGGGTGTGGTGTGGCCACAACCCCATGGTGGAATTTGTGGATGAAAGGGAAAATAAAGTGCCCTGCAGTGGGGGAATTAGTAAAAATAAGTTGTGGATTAGCATGCAATTATTTCAGTCTACATTTGGTATACATTCCAGTGCTTTCCACTGGTGTGTTTAGTGTTAGGGAGGAAACTTCCCCCCACCCTTATGGCTTTTCTTGTGCTGACTGAGAGACCCAATTAACAGAAAGATTAGGAGAAACAAATTGAATTGCATACTATGGAGAATCTACATGAATGTAAATTTGAAGTAAATGGGAGCAAAATGAGGGTATTTGTCCTGAGCTAAAGAATGAAATTGGGCCCTGGGGATTCAAGGAGAGAGGAGGGGAGAGACTCTAATTAGATATTTGCCCTGCCATAGAGGTAGTTTTCTCCAATAGAAAAGATTTTTGTGATAATAGCTTTCATTCTGGGTAATATCCCAGTTTTCATTCTTCTAGGTCACTGAGGGAGTAGTAAAATTTTTTCTTGAAACTTCAGAGCCTTAATTGACTTCAGCTTGAAGTTGATTGACTTCAGCTTGAAGTTATCCACATGCCAAAGTGACACATCTTGGGGAACCATCTTTGTGGATTGACAGGGAGATCTCTAATCTCATCATCCTTGGGGACCACTCCCTAAGAACTCCAGACACTACTTTATTCAAAGCCCAAACACTCAATGTGGCCTGACCTCCAAAAGCCTTAGAGGGGGGAGCATATTCTGTCTCAAGGACTAGCAGGAGACAATGGCTGTGGAACGATCTCTGCAACTTCTAGTCCTGTTCCTCACCAACTCTTACAGTTGGGCATTTTAAAAGCAATGATTAAATTCAAGCTCTGCCCGGTCTTAGCTGTCTCATTTGGGTGAGTCACTTCCTCTTGCTGGGTCTCTGCCAAATCTCAGATCTCCTCCCCTGGGAGGGCCTTTATGCATCATCTTGCCCAAACTCCCCATTTTGTCAGATGCACAATCACCCCGCCCCCCCAGCCCCACTCTGTGGTCCCACGGATCAGTCCTGGCCACCCTCACCCCTCCTCTGTGCAGGGGAGGCAGCTGTGACTCAGAGCACGGATGGGGCCTCCTTAGCTGAATTGTCTACCAGTCACTAGATGCCAGGGAAATTCATCAGGATGAGTCTGGTGACCCAAGGAATTGTATTTGATTTTAGCTTTCAGTCATCAACATTTTGTGACTTTCAGTCATGACTCATACTCTATGCTAAGCAAGTGCAAGTAGCTAATTCTTTAGCTCTGGTTCTTATGTACATGCTTCAAGGGCACTGATGTTATCCTCATTTTCAAGGGTGATATTATTTAGAAATTAGATTTAGAGATGACTAGTTGTCATATAGCGAGTGAGTGGGCTGTAAAATGCATTGATGATTAATAAAATAGAAGCTGGAAAACTTATTAAATTCTATTATTTTTTTTTACAAGCGAGGAAACAGGTTTGTTTAGAGATGTTGAGGTCTAAAGTTCCCACAGCTGAAAAGCAGTTCAAAAGCAGTTATGTCTTTTCCAGACCCAGGGCGCACTGCCTCTCCTGGCATCCTTCATTTGCTCAGACTACTGCTTCATGTCTGTGTCATGGGCTGCCTCTCTCTCTCATTTTGGAAACCAGGCCCCCTCTCCTCCACTCAGTGCTGCCAATAGATTGAGGCATATCCATCCATAGTTGCAAAGCACTGTGGGGAAGGTCTCCGGTAACAAGAAAAGGAGTGCTTGCGAGTGACTCTTGTAGCCTCAACTGAGGATATGTCCAGAGAGGAGAGAGCATAGACCTACATGGCTATGATGAGTGAAGGGCTGAGAGGAAGGTTGCTTTTCTGAGTGCTTGCAAAGCAACTTGATGTTTACATTTGCTTGATTTTTTTTCACATTCTTCCATTTTAACCATCCAGTTATTTTGGCTCACATTCTCCTTCATTTCCTGACTTTGGGAGTTGGTCTGCATCTGGGTGACCCTGAAGAGAGATCTAGGAACATCCCTGGTGAGATTTCCTGTATTCTAGGTCAGATTTTGTGTCATATTACTTTGTGTGTGTGTTCAGTGAAAGGGCATACAGCAGGTGCTTAATAAAAGCAGTCTGAGAAGAAATTTACAGTGATAATTGCCCACATTAACTAGTGAGAGCTCAAACAAGATAGCTTTACATTTTAAGGGAGTAGAAGAAAACAACTTAGCTCAAACTTAGCAAAAGGAAATAAAAACTACAAGAGAAAGACTAGAAAAATGTGAAACTAAGCTGCTTTGAAATGATACAGATGATTCAATTAGCAATGTAGAGGAGCCATTACAACCTATGTCACAAAAATGCAAAGAATCTTGATAGTATGAATATTTTACAAACCAACATGTTGAACTACCTAGAATGATTTTTTTAGAAACATAGAACCTACCGAGAATGAGTAATAACTAAAAAATGTACAGATTAATAATAAGTACTGATTCAAGAGATTGAATCAGTAACCAAAAATCTCTAAGCACAGAAAATCTCAGGACCAGATGTCTTCTCTGGTGAATTCTAGCACCACATCTTTGAAAAACTGATATTTTAAAACTTGTCCAAAAAATTCCAAAAGGAGGGAACAATTTCAAATTTGCTTTATAAGAGCAGCATTATCCCTGATATGAAAACCACGTAGCATATTGTACGAAAACTGCAGGCTAATATCCCTGATGAACACAGTTCTAAATACTCAAATCTAAGCCAAGTGAATTCAAAGCACAATATATTATCAAGTGGGATTTATCTCTGAAATATAAGGATGTTTTCACATTCACAAGTCAATAAATGTGATGCCTCATATTGATAGAATGAAAGATAATGTGATCATCTCAGATACAGGAAAAATTTGACAAAATTCAAACTTGAAAAGCCTGACAACACTTTCATTGTAAAACAGATTTGGTATAGAGGGGATGTATCTCAACATAATAAAAGCCACATATGAGACGATCACAACAAACATCATATTCAGTGAGAAACTGAAAGCTTTTCCTCCAAGATCAGAAAACAAGGGCACCCACTCTCACTACTTCTATTTAACATAGCACTTAAAACTCTAGCCATATAAATCAGTCAAGGAAAAAAGGAATCCAAATTGAAGAGAGAAGTAAAACTCTCTGCAGATAAGATCTTACTTAGGGAAAATACTGAAAACACCATCAAAAAAGCTGTTTGAACAATGATTTTTTTTTCTGAAAAGGATAAGCAATACCACTTATAATAGCATCAAAGAATACAAATAAAATCAAGGATGTGAATCAGTTGCATATTGACAACTATGAAATACCGATGAAAAAAATTTAGACATATAGAAAGACATCCCATGTTCATGGATTGGAAAATAAATATGGTGAATATGTGTTTACTATCCAAAGTAATCTAGAGAAAGTGTGATGCCTCTCAAAAGTCCAACAGCATTGTTTAAATGGAAAAACAACCTTAACATTCATATGAAATCCTGAAGCTATTCAAAAGACCCAAAGAATCTTGAGAACAAAACTGAAGTCATCATACTTCTTGATTTCAAAATGTTACCAAGCTAACGTAGTGAGAACATTATGATATTAATGGTATAAGACAGACATACAGATCAATGAAGCGGAAGAGTCTAGAAATAAATCCATACATATGTGGTCAACGGATCTTTGACAGGAGTGCCAAGAACACACAATGGAAATGGCCAGTCTCTTTAACAAATGGTGTTGGGAGAACTGGAGAGCCACATGCCTAAGAATGAAATCAGGCTCTTACACCAGACACACCGATCAACACAAATATGTAGATGTAAGACCTGAAACTGAAAAATCTTTGAAGAAAATGCGGGAAACAGCTTTACTTTGATCTTGGTGATGATTTCTTAGATTTTACACCAAAAAGATAGGCAACAAAACTGAAAGTAGACAAACAGGACCTCACCAACCTGAAAAACTTCGGCTCAGCCAGAAAACCATGAAGAGACTGAAGAGACATCTTGTGAATGGGAGAAAGTGATGCAAACAATGTGTCTGATCAGGGATTAGGTCAAAACATGTGAGATCTTCTATAAGTCAATGAAGCAAACCAAATAACCCAGTTAGAAACTAGACAAAAGACTTGAGTGGGTATTTCTCCAATGACAACATACAATTTCCAAACATCGATAGATGCTCACCCTCACCGATCACTAGGGAAATGATAATCAGAATCACAATAACCTCACACCCCTGTGGATGTCTATTATTAATAGAGAATTCTGACAGTATTCGGAAGGACGTGGAAAGGGAAGCCTTGCACACTCTTGACAGGAGTGAAAAATGGTGAGGTAGCATGGAAAAAAGCATCAGTGTTCCCAAGAGAATTAAATGTAGAAATACTATGTGACCTGGCAATCCCACTGCTGGGTAAATATCCACAGAAAACAGGGTCTTGAAGAGATATCTGCACTCCCTTGCTCATTGCGTCATCATTTACGCAATGATGACATGGAAATAATACATATGCCCTTTAATGATGAGTGGGCAGAGAAAATGAACACATATGCAAAGGATTATTCAACCTTAA